GGTCTGCTTGGGCGTTGAGATACAAAGAGAGTCATGAGGAGGGAAAAGAGGGTTATGGCATGCAAAGTTTTGGTTTGGTTGCATTGGGAATCATGCTGGACTGTCTTGAGCAGTCGCAGGAGCTGCCCTTGACACCAGCTTAGGATATCATTGTACAATGTATAGGCTCAGACTTGGAGGAGTACAAGAAAATTGGAAAAATTGGTCATGGCAAGGGACCATTTTACCCCTTGCCATGATGAAGCTGCCAAATAAAGTGGGAAGGTCAGGTGATCTGATGAGTGTGTCACACTCATTCTCAGAGGTTCGCTGGTTTGGGAATATCTAGTGTGCTTCCTCCTTGAAATCCATATAATACATTCTTCTTGTGCAAGCTCAGGGGATAAACACCATCCTCAGCTTGTTGGATCAATCAGAGCAACTAGCTCATGAGACACCCCCAATTAAAAACAAGGCATCGAGATTTGGTAACCCTGCTTTCAGGCCATTCTAGAACAAAGTTCAAACTGTTAGTCTTGCGATTCTTTTCCCTTAGCATCTCATACTCACTTGTGCTATATTCAAGCTGGGACCATCATTGCATGCTGACCTTCCCAGCCTAGATCAAAATGCTATGCCCAGATTGGCTACCTATTTCATGCAGGGAATCGAGAGCACATTGGCTATGGGAGCGGTATGGAACTGAACTTCCTCTGCTGGCTGTAAGTCTTTCTATATTTCAATTTGCTTGGTCCTCATGTCACATTGAAGGATATGCCTAGATCACCTGCAGGTTGTTACAACAATTGATCATACCACATTTGTTACTCATGTATTTTGGAGGTGCATTCTCAAGCCAATTATTTTGTTCATTGCTCATCCCTTCCAGATATATTCAAATCATGTGTGTACTTCAGTCGATGTGTTGGCTAGGACCTGCTGAATCTCATGGTGTCTGGGGTCTTGACGATTATCATTTTCTACCTTTCCTACAGGTACTGTTTCGGCCTGTATCATCAGGCTTATCAGCGACTGATCTAGATGGTCTTCCTCAACAAAAATTGTGCCTTCACATGTTATTTTCCGTCAAGTCCACCTTGAGAGTCCTCAATCATGAAAAGTGGCCACAATATGCGATCAGTTTGATACCATCCTTATTCTTTACTTCAGTTCACAGCTTTAAGATTTATGTTCTCACTCAAATTGTTTTGTTTATTGGCTATCTGTGTCAGTTTAGTACAGTCACCTCACAACAAGGAGATGTCACGAATTGGATGTATATGCAGAGCTTATGCCTTGTACATCAAAGCTAGCTGACCTCAAACTCAAGCCCAGAGGTTCACTTGTGTGATGCAGCAGGAGACACGTTTCTGACACAAAATTTCAGGTATCATTCTCTCTGAATCTCTGTACTCTATGTATGACAATGATGCACCTCAGGCAGCCAGTATCTACACTCTGGGTATCCCTATCCTTGGTATCTGCTATGGCCTCCAGGTCTAGTTTTCTCAAGCATCTTGGTAGATGCTAACTCATGCAAGATCCAGGAGATTTGCTGTAATCACAAGGGAGAGGTAGCAAAATGTGATCATTGCAAATACAGGCTTGTGGAATTTAAAATCAGCAGGTCCAGTGAATCAGGAAACTCAGTTGATGCCTTGTTTGATGCAGGTGCGTGTTTTTGTTTCATCCTTTGAAAGCCAAGTTGATGTTGACTTTTGATAAGGTCTGGATGTCAAACTGTCTGTTATGCCTCCTGACTACCATGTCATCAGACAGATGAGCACCGCTGCCTATGCCACCATCGCACATAACTCCAAGTTGGTTTATGACATTCAGATCCATCCAGAGGTAATGGATTCCCCACACAGGAAGGCAGCTCATTGGTCGATTTGTGCTGAATACATGCCAATGCTGACCAAACTGGACAATCATGAAGTAATTACTGTGTTGCGTGTATTGTCATGCTCATTGTGATTGCAGGAGAAATTTATTGGCAAGGAAATTGTCCACATCTGCAAGATGTGTGGTCTGAAAGGCCGTATGATCGGCACAGTCAGCAGAGGTGTTGATAGCACTGTTGCAACCAAGTTAATGCACAAGGCAATCAGTGACGGGTTTGCCCCATGTTCTTTTCATAACCTATGTCTTATACTCATATATCAGATTCCACGCCATCATGGTAGACAATGGCATGCTTCGTCTGAACGAGGCACAACAAGTCAATGACATGTTGAATAAAGATCTGGGCATAAACCTGACCATGGTAGATGCTTCTGAGCTCCTCCTCTCCCGACTTGATGGTGTTTAGGATCTGGAACAGAAGCACAAGATTGTCAGGAATATGGCTCACAGAAGCAGCGAAGACTGAGGAAGCTACCGAGAAGGAAGGGAGTGGAATGGAGGCGAAGGGGAAGATCGCATGGCTGTTGTGAGGAACCCTATATCCAGATGTCATCAAGAGCATCCTTTAAGGGCCCTAGTGCGACCATAAAGACACATCACAACGTTGGTGGGCTTCTCAAGGACATGAAATTGAACCCCTGTGCAAGCTCTTCAAAGGTCTGGTTAATGGAATGCTATATAGCCTATTGCACTGACTGTTCTATGTAGATGAAGTCCGCGTGCTTGGAAGACTCCTGTCGATATCAGCACCCTTGGTTCAACATCATCCTTTCCCAGGTCCTGGTCTGGCTATTCGGATTTTGGGTCCTGTCACATGCAAACAAGTAAACATCCTGCAACAAATATCACCTAGAAACTTGCTGTATCAATAATGACCTTATATATAAATGATGTCAGACCCTTTTTTACCTTTACCTCGCTTCATGGTTGACAAACATGAATGCAAATGCAAATGCAAGTCATTGAGAAATTCGACTCCAGACACCAAAGCAACAGCTTGCTTGGTATGTGGCTTTTCAGGATCACTTAGTTCACTGGCAAATATTGATGCATCCTTTGTCTAGCACCCATGGGAATAGGTGTATCATGATGAATCCAGCTTTGCTTTGGTTAAGGGTGGTGTTAAGAGGTTAAGGATCCTGGTAAGTCCATGAGCATGCGTAATGAGTGTCTTAGAATACAACTAAGATTAGCATCAGCACTTGAAGGATTCTGCCAGCCGTCACCTAATGTCTATCATGAACATACTTCATCGACCTTGGTAGGTTCTCACACTTGCCCTCCAGGCACTTCAGGATATACTCAAGAGGCTCCAAAGCACATGCATTCACATTCGGAGCCCACAGCAGCCATAGTTTCTCTTGCTCAAGATGTACAAGAGGATCTTGATGCTGTTGACATTTTCCAGGATGCATCTTGAACCACTCAGGATGTTTGACACTGTTATCAGAGAGCTCGTGGAGGTATGGGCTCTCTTCTTGATTAACACTGAACTAATCTAGTTCCACAGGCACATCCCTATGCCAAGATGGCAGTGGGTGTGTTGGCTCATGCAGCCAAAGTATGTTTTCATTTTCTCTCTCCCTATCTCTTACTATTACTCAACAATCATTTATGCAGAGTATCCTAGCTCAAGTTGATTGTGACACAGTGGTGCTCAAAATCCTTGATAAATTTTCTGAAGTGTATAGCTTCATAGCACGACATGAGATGTATGGAACAATCTCATTGATTCACACTATCCTTTGAGAGATTTCTCAGCAGACCTGTGAATGTGCCCGATTATTTGGAGATCAAGAAAATTTGTGAGTCTTGACATGCTACTGCACCCTGTACTGTCTCGAGCTTCTATCATTATCACAGGGAGTAGACATGGAAAGAATGTTACCTGGGAAATGGAGGATACAATCCAGATGTACAATGGCGTGTTTGATACGCTCATGCAAACCTCCTGTGGCCAGATCGCTCAGGACATAGTCATACATGTCCACTGCATGGGTAAGGGTTTGGACATTCTTGTGACCTGACACATATTCATACTTTTTCAGAAGAAATATTGGACTTTAGCAGCATGACTTATGCAGACGGCATGGGACTAGATAGCAGAAAACAGTGTCTTCATGGGACATGCACAGAAATCCTTTCTGAGATCACTGAATGGGTCAACAGCTTGGGACAACATTCCATGCGTGCTGTGGCTATCTGGCCTTGCAGGCAAGGGAAAATCAGCCATCACCCATACCATTCCTAAGTGGTTCAAAGATGTGGGAGGACTTGGTTTGTGTTACACTTTTGACTGCCAGTGAGAAGCAGATCTTTTCCATGATTGGGTGCGACCTGGCTGACCATGATCTGGAGATGAGGCAGGCATTAGTTCAGGCCACAAGTTTGCTCAAGATATCATCCAGCAGTAACAGAAGCTTATTCAACCACTGAGGAAGTCATCTGGGTTAACTGAGAAACCCATCATAATTGTTATCGATGCACTGGATGAGAGTGGTGGAGTAGAGACACGAAGTGACCTCCTCTGTATTCTAGCTGGCAAACATCAGGACCCCTACCATTCCCAAAATCACAGATCTCCCAATCAACTTTCACTTCATCGTCACCTCTTGCCCACTTGATGACATCAATGATGAGTTTCATGGTGTTCAGCATATTCAACAGATGTCCATGGATGTTCCACCAGCTTTCACAGAGCGCGACATCCATGCTTAAGTATCTGAGAAGCTGGAAGGGTCAGGTTTTGATGACAGAGAGTTTGCAGTCCTCACTGAGAAAGCTGATGGACTTTTCAAGTGGGGATGTCTCGCTTGTGTATACATCAAAGGGTCCCATGCTGGGCTATCTCGAATAGATTGCTACAATGCCATGGTGTCACATGCTCCTGCTGAGAGAAAGTGTGATTGGCATTATGGCATTCATGGCAATCACAGTGCTTCGAGATGGATGACATGGCTAGTAAAGTTGTTTCAGCTGTTGTAGGTGCCACGCTGAATAAAGAAAAGTGAGTTTTCAATTCTCGTTCTACCATGCTGATGGCTGCAGATGTATAGGTCAGTTCATGATCAGGCATTGAAAGCCGTCAAGCTTTTTCATCAAGTATTTACAAGCTCATGCTTCAACTATGGTAGGTCCATAGTGCATATGCCAGTCTGCATTACTTGTGAACCCTTTTTCACAGCTGGAAACAGCATTCACAGAAGATGGCAGAAGTTGATGCACACACCAATGCTGGCCTTGTAAACTCAGCAACAGGCGTAGCAGCTGCTCTCACAGGGTGGGTTGCATTGTCCCTTGGTAGAATGCATGTTTGATTTGGTTTTCTTGAAATTGATAGCTTACAAAGATCTAATGCTCAGATTGCCCCTGCTCACATGCAAACAATGATCTCAAGTACCATCAAAGGATCAATACTGGCACAAAACATCAATGGGCGCACCAGTCCTCTGTCTGTGTCAGCTGCTTCTCTCTCCAAGAATCTACCAAGAAGAAAAGACCTGCAACTGGACTGGAATAAAGTTCCGACTTCTATGCTCACTGTGCACCTTGCTGAAAAGGTCGCTAATGAGGCAGGGCAGTAGTCATTTGTGGAATGGCAATTTGATCAATATTAATGTTGACAAAGGAGATTGGAGTACATTCTTTGACCTTTAGAGATATCACTGGATCTAAACTGACCTGTTGTTGTTTATAGGTGCATTTGAGAGTGCTCTACCCAGTGTGGAATCAAAGCTTGAAAGTACAACCAATGATCTAAGATTCAGCACATTGCTGCAGGTCAGTTCTCCAAGTACATGTATCATGTCCTCATCCATAATTTCCCTACCAAGTTATCTGGTACAGCTCCTAATGAATGGGGCACAACATCATTGTCCAGACCTGCAAGTTGCTTGGCTCATCATTGGAGGACATTACATCCCTCCCAGATCTAGCTGGATTTGAACTGCACTGCACATGGGACACGCTGGCAGCACTGCTATGAGAAGTGACTAGTGAGTCTCCAAAGTCTTCTGTCCCTTGCATTTAATCAACCCAATACCCCCAGCTGTTGATTATGATGGCCATATTCCAACAATTGAGATGTGGAGATGTCAGAGTACTGTAATAGCAAGTTAATTCAATGTAAATTGTATACCAGCATTGGTTTGAATTTGGGGTAAAATCACCTCAACTGCATGATGTAAGCTTTCCTGACAATGAACTTGTCAGTTCTCACACACCAAATATTTGGTTCGCTCCACCAGATGACATGTCCAAGCTTAAGGTCACTGATTTCATTCCTTTCTCAAACAAAATCTATCAACCACCACTTTACCTCCAAATTCAAGAATTTTTCAGTACATGCCTCACATTCAGTAGGTCTCCTCAGAGAGCTAGGGAATATTATGACTAATATTAGTCAGTCAAACATTTAGCACTTATCCTGAGCATTGGGGTGTAGATGACGGTTGGGCCTCCCAATCATATACAGACTTGTCAGTAAATATTTTTGAATTCTACATATTACTAATGCTAAAGATTCACAGTATCCCTTACCGGACAATGATGCCACCAAAAGTTTAGTGTTTCCTCCCATATCACTGGAAGAATAATGGAGTTGAGAGACCACCATGTGCATCTGCTAGAGTTCCTCCTTCCAAATGGAACTCGTATTGGCAATATAAAGGACCTAGAAGTACTTGAGCAGATCAGTGGGGACAGGCTGGTCCCTCTGAAACACAAATCACAGCTGTTTCCCTTGGCTAATCACCTATATTTTATTTTTCCTGATGACAGGGTTTATGAGGTGCACTTTCGTGGTCACATTACCATCATTAGCTTCCCTCAGCATCTCGAACTTGATACAAAAGGTGTTGCTATAGAATGAAGTAATTTTTGTTGTATTGATATCTTCCTTGCTTGACACCTTCGAAAACCAAGTAGATTATTTTATTGAACACAAGGAAAGCTCTATAACAGCAATTTAAACTACTAGCTTATGGTGCTATACCTACAAATTTGCAAGTTTTATTTGAGAGTCTCCACATATGCACACTGCTGCAAGATTTCAATCAAAAGCAGATCTGGACTGCAGAGCCTTGAATGGACTTGACGCACCAATTGTGGCAGAGTCTTCAGCTTCCCTACAACTCCCAGACCCTGCAGTCAAAGTTTGTCAATGGTGAAATCATAACGCTTGCTTATAAGTTCACATGCATCGTCAAGCACAACTTGACAATGTAGAGAATGCAGCATGGTGGAATGCTGGAATAAAAATCAGTAGGAAATACAGAGCATTCATGATATTGAATTGAGCACTTACACATTGTTGTGTGGCAAACATTTCTGCATTTGAAGCCTCAAGGCTATGTTTCTGGCCTATAAATTCTTGATGTATAGTGTCTATCAGCTCCTGCTGGATATCTTCTATTGTCTCCTGATGCTCATCCATCATTCCCTGGCACATATCAATCATCATATCCTGCAGCAGAGTACTGTAGTCAACTGCTGAGCTGCATACAACTGCTGAATAACGCTCAGTACAGAGATGATGATGTTGCAAAGGTGTTGAGAACAGCACCTACCTTTCTTTTTACCACAAGATAACTTGGACAACGCTTGCTTTTGTTCCATGGCTACTTCTTGTGTCAGGTGTTGGGCATTCACCTTGGCTGTATATCATCATCTGCACTGGCCTTCCTCCAGCTGGGCCTGATCTTCTCGTACTTGTTGAGAGCAGGGGCACCTAGTGGTGCAGGGGTGGTATTAGCAGTACACATTGAGTGAAGGGGGTGGTGTAGTAATCTGGGCAATTAATGTTAGGTGTGCATTATATACGGTGGCTGGTGGATTGGAGGGTACAAATGACGCAATGAGGCATCTGAGAAGCACATGCAAATTTTGGGGATGTGGAAGAGGAAGGGAAGGTAAATGCAAAATGAGTGTGGAGGAGTGTGAGGTGGTGGCAAAGCAGCTGAAGTGAAGGGTGCTGAATTGCAATGATATGGTCAATTGTGTATGTCAAAAATAAGAAGACCAACTTTTTGTGTGATGAGAAGGCCTTTGCTAAGTGCTTTCTTGACCTTGTATATAGCAGTACTTGTCAGGATGCACAAGTAGCAAAAAGAACTTGACACACCTAGGCATGAATACCTACAGCCCAGTCACATCCTCCCTCCTGCAAGCAAAAGCTCTCCATGACTCTCATGCTAACTTTGGCCAAACTTGTCCAAGCACAAGATTCTACATCAGAGGTGAGAGCAGGCACTGTCTTAATGAGTGGAGGGAGAGAAATAGTGAAAAGCCAAAGTCTGGATGAGTCGGAGGAAGCACCAGAAGCCTGGAAGTGCAAGGAGTAGGATTGCTGGAGGGAGCCGACG